TATGCCCCATTTTAGTAGTGACCTTAGAATAACACTACATTGAATTTTATTACCAAAACATGTTTATATTTTTATTATGGCAACACAACCGATACACAAAATTAAATTATAAGCAAACTAATCTTGTCTATTTCTGTTCTGTCGCTAGTTCGCTACACCTACGAATTTAGACTGTATGTCTTTCGTAACAAAGTTTAAATTGCCTTGTAATGTATTCCGAAGGTTTATTCAAATTGTATGCTTCTTAACTTCCTGCTCGCCTAGTACTTTTCTGCGCAGTTGCGTAATGGTTGATGTCGATTTCTTAACACCTGTTGCCTACTATGGACATGTTGCTTATAATATTTATTATTTTAGAACACTGTCCAGTTTCTTCCGTGCTTCTCTAGTTGCCGGTTCGAATCTTGGTAGTTTTTGGTCAGTTGAAACTGCCGAGCTAGTAGTCCAAAAATCCATCTTCTTGGTCTAAGATTTTATTTACCTCATGCATCAAGCTATCTATTGATGACAATAGCATTAAAATCTGTTCAATAGTTTTTGAGTTCATAACAAACAAATAAAAATAATACCAGCGTGAAGTCGTTAAGTAATGTAGGTGCGTTTCGTCAGGCATTGGAGATTTGGAGAGCTCTGAATGCTCAACTCGTTTTCGTGGAGTCCTCGTCTAAAATGATGGCAGAAGCCAATAAGGTCCGAGAGACTGAACAACAGCGGTCTCTGATCAATCTAAGTGTGGGAGAGCCATGTCAGAGGAAGGATTGAGCCTTCGGTAACCTCTAGTCCGTGGTATCACTCCAGTCCAGCCATCCCATTCGTGCCGAAGCAAAGCGTCACAAATCCCATATCGCTGATAACCGCGTCCATGGTATTTTTTTTGATGGTAAGCAGTGCTGATTGCTTACCATCAGAAAAAATAACGTACAAACAAACAATTTAGCTTCATAATATTGGTATAGATTATGTCTCATTTGAAAAGATTTCTTAGAAATTGACGTCCATCCAATTTCTATGTTCGAAGAAAGCGTGGCTTGAGCCAATACGCGGTTGCTATGGTGATCCTGGGTGCTAGCCAGATGACTGTCATATCAACTTAATGATTATGAAGTCACGTTATCTCAAAAGCACGAGATTGTCTATTTAAAGAAATAAAATTATATATCTACATATCTTTTTTTGTGAGGGGAAAATCATCAAATGTTTTCTGGTCAGACTCTTACTGACTAGAAACCCTCCGTTCCTTCTCCTGCTCTGGGCCGAGGTCGCGGTACCTCATTGCGCTTACCCCGCAACTCTGGCTGAACATCAGCCCTATAGGGCCCCGTCTATGATGGTCTATTGGCTCTTAGAGGCGCGCTGGAGGTTATATATAGTTCCTTATATGCTGTAAACAATTATTGAAAAGGTATATTACTGAGCTTGTATCCGCAACTCCGGCCGAAGAAATTAGGCGACGACAAATATATGAAAAACAGTTGTAATATAAAGTATAAAAACTAAAACCTAACTACGACGAAAACCGACGCTGAAAAAGTATAAAACAATATTTTCAGAATACTGAAAGGCGTAGTCACACGTTACATTTACTTACCATACCTGCACTTTGATAAGATGAAGGTAAACATCGTGAGGAAACCTGGACTTATAATTTCTAATTATAAGTTCGTAATCGCCAATCCGTATTGAGCAAGCATGGTAATGCTCAAACCTCCTCCGTGTGAGAAGAGGCCTTTGCTCAGCAGTGGGCACTTATAGGCTGATGATGATGAATAATAAAAAAAAACAGAAAATTAGCGTTTCGACCTCATTAAGTTTTTTTGATCCCAAGAATTTAACCTGTGATCTTTCTCGTCTATCCGTTTCAACTGGGACACTTGAGATAAATACAAGACAATAAGTCTAATATCCGTTTAAAAGATAAGCTTTTTAATTATTTTGTTATGTCTAACGTTAAGATACCTACTCCTATTAATGACCTTCTAAGCTGTAGTCTTTGTATAGACTTTCCAATAATCTGATTAAATAAAAAGAGATCAAAGTTAAAATCACTTGTTTCAATGAGACCCTTACAGGCACTTGTGAACGTCAAACATAAAAAAGGACAGTCTGTCGGTCAGTCCTCTTAGTGAAGCTATTTCGTCATATGCCATATTGTCTTTTTTGAACCCGAATTTGCCCTTATCAGCAGCCGGAAGACGTCCACTGCTGGGCAAAGACCGCCCCCTTTGTTCTCCAGGCCGAACGATAACTCGCCACTTACATCCACTGGCTTCCTGTGACTCTGTCGAGGTCGTCAGTCCACCTAGCAGGAGGTCTGCCCACGCTATGTCCTCGGGTTCGTGGTCGCCACTCGAGCTCTTTTCTGACAGTGATTTGTCCTAAAATAACGGAAAAGAATATTTCGCCACCAATACGGTAGTTTCCAACTAGTCAAATTCAATACTTTTAACCAAATGTCCAATATCGATACTTTTCTTTGAAATGTGTATGGAATAGTGAGTTTTGACGTCATAGTTTTTTTTACGTCAAATAGATTAGTTATTTCTTAAAAATTAGCTAAAAAATATCTGAAATTTTGTGTATAGATCGATTGATGAATGAAAGTATAGTTTTTCTTCAATATGTTATTGTATTGAAGTGTCGAGTTTTTTATTTTTGACCTAGGAAACTTCCCAATTCTACCAACCAGGGCCAGACAGTTGATGATTTTTGCCCCTAAAAAAATCCATCCCTTATCTTCTACAGGTTTAATAATTAATGATTAACAGATAAGGTAGTGTATGGAATTAATCCTTTTTCCTTTTTTCCTTTTTTGGAAGTTTGTTAACAAATGCTAAAATCTTTTTAGGGCTCATTTTCCAATAGTCAAATAAATGTTATCTAAGGATTAAAATTGTTGCTGTTGCTGTGACTGTCTTATACAAACATTCTGACGTGACAGCATCATAATTATTGGTCAGGTAACTTTTATCTAACCATTGAAAAATTAGCTCTTAGTTAAATAATAATGACTGGCGAAAAATACATACTTATGTCTTAATAAACCTGTTGTGAAATAAACAGCGTTTATATCACATTATCTATGTAAATAAAAACAAAATAAAAATTCATACATGCAGGTTCCCAAACACAAACACAGCGCCACAAACTTACAAAATCGGGTGTTAAAAATCTGAACTAATCTACACCTACAAAATTACTTGACAAAAATCGCGTTACAAAGAAACCAATGACGTTTTCAACTGTAAAATAAAATTTGTACTATCATAGTTTACGCGTGGTGTTAAAAACAATTTAGTGGGCGAGAACGAGACGGAAGATGATGACTAATGTGTTAGAAAGAGATGAAGGAATGTTTGTCAACACACCGCTGCTATATTTAGACGGTTTCCGTGTGTTCAAATGTATATAGAGATAGGTATGTTTTGTACATCAACCGTTTATATTTTATTATTCTAAATAGGTTAGTAGGTTTACTGATATGATGTGTTAATTGAAAATGTGGTGTGTTATCTGCTAATGTTTTAATACAATACACAATTTTTCCGGACAATAAATGACTATCACAAAATTCCCTAGCTCTACTACATATCACACAGATTGCTACACGCAGTAGTTACAGCTGTGCCCTGTCTGTTACTCAGTCAATGTTTCTCTATATCTGCTATCGAAAGAGCTTCATCATTAGCCTATAAGTGCCTACTGCTGAGCAAAGACCACTCCTCACACGGAGAAGGTCTGAGCCTTCACCACGCCTACTCAAGGTGGTGCGATTTCAAACTTACGATTAAAAATCATAAGTCCACCCCCGATCCTTCTCCTGCTCTAGGCCGAGGCCGCAGTGCCTCATTGCGCTTACCCCGCAACCCCGGCTGAACATCAGCCCTTTAGGGCCCCGTCTGTCATGGTCTATTGGCTCTTTGAGGCGCGCTGGAGGTTATAGTTCCTTATATATTGTAAACAATTATTGAAAAGGTATATTATTGAGTTTGTATCCGCAACCCCAGCTAAAGAAATCAGGCGACGACAAATTTATGAAAAACAGTCGTAATAAAGTAAAATTAACATGCTATTACGCAGTAATTCCCTGTAAATTGGAACGCCACAATCTGATGCGTAGTTAGAGCGAATATATTCTATAAAAAACATGTTCTTCCCTTTCCATACTCGATAGCAATGGCGTTCTTCATTTATTACGTATTCTGTGGGCGCGCGTGCGCGATGATCTCATATTTACGCGCCAAAATACGCAACCCGTTTGACAGCTGTCAGATTTGGTAGGTGTCAGTGTCAAAGATAATGTTGGTTTGTTTTTTTTTTCATAGATCCTCCATCGGTTTGTTTGAGGCATTATTTTACGAGATGTTCTTGTATAAATATATAGGTATAAATATTATAAAGCTAAAGTGATATCCGATATGAGGAAGATGTCCTTTGTAGCGGTGATAAAATATTGCCAGATTTTAGCTACTATAGAAAAATTTGAACATTGAAAAATTCGGTAATTACTTCAATTAATTTTGGTAGTTCTATCTAGTTGATATTTTGACAGTCTCGATTCAGATAATACTCGATAAGTCACTAAAAGTGTAGAGTTAGAAATCGAACCCGCATCCCAAACGGAATATTTCCTTGAAAAGCACATATTTTTTCAAAGATAAATAACACTTATTATTTACCTTGCTAAGATAAGCAAGCGAAACGATAATTCATTGCACACAGATAATAAAAATCGGTACTCGTGTCAGAATCAGCTGTTTTGTAACCACGTGACTGTACCTGTACTTGTTTTTTTTTCATTTATTCGCATCGCTTTGTATTTATGTTGTCCTAGTACCTTTTTGTGAAATTATATACATATGTTAATAAAAATTTTAGTTGTCTAAAGAAAATCATTTTTTTTATTCTTGTCTCGTCATGAATGGATTTCCTAGACTGTCTGGCGGCACACGTATTTAGGTATCGTTTTTTCGGCAGTCGTTAAATCAGCATCGGATTATCTGATGGTAAGCAATCGCCGACGCAAATGGACACCCGCATCAATGTTAGAGTGTTGCTGCTTTCGGAAATTTAGGTATTGGGAGAGGGGGAGAAAGGATTGGGCCTCCAGTAACCCCCACCCACACGTCGAAACACAACGCTGTGGTTGTTTCATACCGGTTTTCTATGAAGCTCTGGTACCGGTCGAGCCGACCCATTCGTGCCGAAGCATGGCTCTTCCACACTTGTTGATGCATTTGAATTTAGATTTAGTTCACATTCGGTGCCTAACCTATATACTAAGAAATCGATAGCTTATCAGCGACTTATCAGTATATGTGCGATGGTATCGCAAGGCCGTCTATGTTTGATAACAAAACTAAATCAAATATATATGCATTAGTCCATTATAGACAGAGTAGACATAACATAATATTCTTACGAGAAGTTTTGAGATTTGTCGCCTGGACAGTCTACGCTACATCCTTGTTGACTGGACAATCTCTGCACTACATGAGCTGCTGTTTACATGTGAACATTAGCTCATGACGATACCTAAGTACGTGTGTCGCCTGGACAGTCTACGCTACATCCTTGTTGACTGGACTATCTCTGCACTACATGAGCTGCTGTTTACATGTGAACATTAGCTCATGACGATACCTAAGTACGTGTGTCGCCTGAACAGTCTACGCTACATCCTTGTTAACTGGACAATCTCTGCACTACATGAGCTGCTGTTTACATGTGAACATTAGCTCATTGAGCACACCAAGCTTCTTCGAGGCTAACTTGGCCTTACCCTCTAGATGACCGCGGAACTGGACTTCGCTCGATATGTCGACGCCAAGTATCCCAATACTGGCCGAGGCAGTGAGGGGGGTGCTCTGAAATTGAGGAGATACGACCAACGGCAGTTTTTTAGCTGTGAACACGCAGACCTGTGTCTTTGTGGGGTTAAATTGGACTAAGTTAAGTCTACCCCAATCTGAGATTCTTTCTAAAGAAGTCTCGATTTCACACACAAGCCTGTTTCGACTGTCTATGACGTTTTCCCGAGAAATGTTAGCACGACCGGCGTAAAAGGCATCACCCGTGATGTCATCCACATAACAATGAATGCCACTAAGTTGCAAATATCATTGATATGGAGGAGGAACAGAGTGGGCGATAGTACGCAGCCTTGAGGCACGCCAGCATTCACAGGCAAGCAATCAGAGCATTCACCGTCGACTGCGACTTTAATGCTTCTGTCTGCAAGGAACCCATTTACACAGTTTCTCGGGAAGCCCATAGGAAGGTAGCTTCGTAAGAAGCCCTCTATGCCCAACCCTACCCTGATGATACCTAAGTACGTGTGTCGCCTGGACAGTCTACGCTACATCCTTGTTGACTGGACAATCTCTGCACTACACGAGCTGCTGTTTACATGTGAACATTAGCTCATGACGATACCTAAGTACGTGTGTCGCCTGGACAGTCTACGCTACATAAGCTGCTGTTTGCTTGAAAAAGTAAACAGTTTTTACATGAAAAGTATATCATGTTATGCTGTCATATGTTATAGTTTTAAGATTACACTACAAGTGTATATATCAACACTTCTTCCGACAGTTTAGTCTCTGAATATAAATAAATAAACTCTCGCCACGTTTTTGGCCGTTATCCAAAAATGTTTGTGAAGAGTAAAATAGTATTTCTTATAGTTAAATTCTCTGTTTATATTATGTTTGTGTTAAGAATAGAGGTTAAACGTGTGAGGTTTAGTTTGGGATGTGTTGGGTAACCGGTGAGATCTTAACGCTTTGGTATTTATGTTAAGACTAGCGACCCGCCCCGGCTTCGTATGGGTGCCATGCTGATACTCAATTTCTCCACTATTTAAATTGATGTTATTATACATATAAACCTTCCTCTTCAATCGTTATGTCTATTAAAAAACCGCATTAAATTCCGTTGTGTAGTTTCAAAGATTTAAGCAAACATTTAAGTGGGGGAGAGCCATGCTTCGGTCGAATGGGTCGGCTGGACCGGAGTAATACCACGGCTTCACAGAAAACCGGCGTGAAACAACCACAGCGTTGTGTTTCGCCGTGTGAGTGAAGTTTCTGGACGCCTGATCCTTCCCGTCCCCCAATCCCTAAATCTCCAAATTCCTAATCCCCAAAAGGTGTGCAACGCACTCGTAACTCCTCTGTTGTTGCGGGTGTCCATGGTCAGCGCTGATTGCTTACCATCTGGTAATCAAAAAAAAAAACAGGGATAAAGGTAGAGAGAAACTGACTTTGTTTTATACTATGTAATGATATAAAACATATGATAAATATGAGGTATATAGGTACCTACTATGCAGTAGTGTACAAATAGTTATATGGGACGCACTCGTCACTTTGTCGCTAACCAATGAAATAACTAGAGTGCAATCGGTACTTAAGAAATATGTTAGCTTATTCATTATTCAGTCACGTTTTTGATAATGATAAAATTCTTTTGTTGTTTCCTACTGACAGCTGAAAAGTTTACTTAAAATATAAATATACATGTGAACATTAGCTCATGACTATACCTAAGTACGTGTGTCGCCTGGTCAGTCTACGCTACATCCTTGTTGACTGGACAATCTCTGCACTACATGAGCTGCTGCTTACATGTGAACATTAGCTCATGACGATACCTAAGTACGTGTGTCGCCTGGACAGTCAACGCTACATCCCTGTTGACTGGACAATCTCTGCTCTACATGAGCTGCTGTTTACATGTGAACATTAGCTCATGACGATACCTAAGTACGTGTGTCGCCTGGACAGTCTACGCTACGTCCTTATTGACAGGACATCAACACACTCGAACTGTGTTCTTAAAAAAATGCATTCAGACAGATATTTTCAATCTACTGAATGAGAACAAAGGAAATGTTCGAAAGATACTTTCATCCCTACACAAAGAGCTATGAATCCGGGCCAACAGGGTAGTAGGTCGGTCGGGGAGGAGGGACTTGCATCAATAAGTGTGTCAAGGGTGGGCCCCGCCTAGCATGTACTGCCGGTCAGAATTATGGGATGATTTTAAAGAGAAATTATTGGTGTTTATTTTAAATTGAACGTGCGCTTATAATCACTATATAGTATAAAACAAAGTCGCTTTCTCTGACCCTATATCCCTATGTATGCTTAAGTCTTTTTACGCAACGGATTTTGATGCGGTTTTTTAATCGATAGAGTGATTGAAAAGGAAGGTTTATATGTGTAGTAACATCAGTTAAATTCTAAAGTTTTTTTTATAAATTTATCAGTATTGAAACCAACTGTTTGTATAAGAAATCTATATGTGAAACTGATTTAAAAAGAGTCACCATGGAGTTTCTTGCTCGTTCTTCTCCATTGGAATCTACACTTTGGAACGAGCAAATAGCTTCACTAAAAGGACTGACCGACAGACTGACACTTCATATCTTTCAATTTTGTTTGACGTTCAAAAGTAGGGTCTAATTGTTATTTCATTATTATTGTTTCAAAATAATATTATTGTTTCAAAATAGGGTCTAATTGTTGAAATACATGATTTTTTACTTTTTGCACACATGCGAAACTGGGGCGGGTCTTAGCTTGATAATCAAGTGTCAGCAAGAGAGGCTGTCGAAAAAAATATCTTGAAGTTTGATTCTTAGAACGAATCATTAGGTTTCTGGGTGGTTTCAAAAATAGTAAATACTGATTTTGGTTTCGCGGAGATCGTGGTGGTACGAACGTTACGGTGTCCACTTCTCTTGCTTGAGATTGCAGCCTCAATACCTGGCTATTACTAGTTAAATGTGCTTTCTAAGTTTATTTGGACACTATTGTTATACTCAAGATTTATCCTGTGGGAGAGCCAAGCTTCGGCACGAATAGGTCGGCTCGACCGGAGTGATACCAGGGCCTCATAGAAAACCGACATGTAAGAACTACAGCGTTGTGTTTCGCCGTGTAAGTGAGGTTACCGGATGCCCAATTTATCCCCTCACCGCATACCTGTTTCTTTTAATGAATTTCCAAAACCTGTTATTCCCAGGTTTCCGGCTGATTTGTAATACCTCGGATGCTGTGAATGTTTAAGACAGGCGCAGATTGCTTACCATCAGGTAATCTGCCACCACTTTTACCACTCCATCGCATAAACTCACGTGAATAGGGAGGTTGTTCAAATACTACTGCTCGCTCGATGTCACCAGGGTTGTTATTGGATTCTAATTTTACCGTATAAACTGGATTCGTTGACCCTATAACCCTGGTGACCTAGTTTCGTTATGGGTCACAATGATGAAGTGTCCTCGTCCTCTGATCGCTTAAATAGCCTTTGAGTTAATGCTGGGTTTTGGGCCCAGGTGAGGTGGTCTGGTTAAAAAATTGTAAATATCTGTATTTACCTTTTTTATATTATAATAGGTATGTTTGGTAGAATCGTGGTAGAATTCGGTAGTTTCCAATTAGTTTAATTCAATACTTTTTTGAAATATGTAAAATGATGAAAATCAAAAAATTAAGTATGTTTGTACATATATCGTCAAATCAAGTAATGATATTTATTTTTGACTTATTATTATCCAATTAGATCCCCTGCAGCGTTGGTTTGTTTGTTGGCAATAAAAACAAAAACAGCTGTATATGCTTTTATTCAGTTTTTACTAGCCGATAAGGCGACTCTTAAGAAAATGTTTCAGTGTAAAATTTGCATAAATTTGAATTCCATTGGTGAAAATCTAAAGGGACATAAAAATAATGTACTTCTTTTTTCGTTAATTACAGATGCACAGTTGCGATCCAGTGCCGGCGGCGGCGCCACCGGCGTCTGGGCCCAATCTCCTCCTGCAGCTAGGCCGACTTATAGTCCGGTCTCGAAGCACTAGCCCCGCAACTCGCGCCCCGCCACACGACCGACTCATCCACGCCAAACTACTGGCTGCTAACCCTTCTACTAGTACACAGGTATGATACCCTGGTACTTGCTTACTGAAATAGGTAAAGTTTATCTAGCAATCCTCCTTTATAATTCTGTTGTCCTGGTATTTTTTGCCAAAATAATTTGCCGGAAGCCCAATCCTTTCCTTCCCCTAATCCCTAAATCTCCAAATCCCTAATCCCCATAAGGTCGGCAACGCACTCGTAACTCCCCTGTCCTTGCGGGTTTCCATGGGCGGCGCCGATTGCTTACCATCAGGCAATCCGTCTGTTCGTTTGCCAAACCATCCCATAAAAAAAGAAAGTTTGCCAAATTCTATACTTTTTACGAAATGTCAAAATCGAATAACATCACGCTATGATCTGTAGGAGCTGAGTAGCTATTGAAACCGTGTGAATGTAGCTGGTGATTAATTTAAACAAAGGATTTTCAATAATTTCCAGGTCCAGACTCAACCGAAACCAGCAGAAAATGAGGAACCGAAACCAGCAGTCGAAGCCAAGCTGAACACTCGCGTACAGGCGCTCTGGGATGAGCAGATACCTGTTTGTATCGAGGTCAGTATTGATTTCACATCATGAGCCTATAATTGTCCACTGCTTAGCAAAGGCCTCTTCTACACGGAGAAGGTTTGAGCGTGCATCACCCTTGCTTAAGATGGATTGGCGATTTCAAACTTGTAAAAGGCCGTCCATAAAGTAGGGCCACCACGACACACAGTGATAATTCAGATCATCCAGAAACTTTCTGTCCCATACAACAAAACTTTGGAATGATATTTCGTTGGCGGTATTTCCGAACCGATATGACCTTCAAACCTTCAACAGACTCTTACTCTTTCTCAAAACGCCGGCAACGCGCCTGTGACTCCCCTGGTGCCATAGGTTTCCATAAGCGGTGCTGATCGCTTACCATCAGGAAAACAGCGTGAATAAACCGCAAAGTTATGTTTTTTGTGATTGAGGCTACTACAAGTGCGTTGCCGGCCTCTTGTGCGTCATTCGGGATTTAAGGATTAGGGATAAGGGGGTAGGACGGATTGGACATCCGGTAACCTCGCGGCGAAACGCAACGTAAGTGTAGGCCGTGGTATTACTCCGGTCAAGCCGAACCATGACTCTCCCGTAGGCCCAATCCTTCGCCTCCCCCGATCCCTAAACCTCCAAAACTAATACCTTAAAGGTTGGCAACGGACTCGTAATTCCTTCAGGGTTATAGACGGGCACGAATAGGTTGGCTCGACCGGAGCGATACCACGGCCTCACTGAAAACCGGCGTGAAACAACCACAGCGTTGTGTTTCGCCGTGTGAGTGAGGTTACCGGAGGCCCAATCATTCCCCTTCCCCAATCCCTCCCCAGTCCCTAAATCTCCAAATCCCTAATCTCTTAAAGATGGGCAACGCACTCGTAACTCATCCGTTGCGGGTGTCCATGGGCGGCGCTGATTGCTTACCATCAGGTAATTCGTCTGCTCGTTTGCCGACCTATAACACAAGAAACTGCTCGTTTACTCTCCTATCACATAGAAAGAAAAATGAATAAGGACTGAGGTAGTAAATAATTGATTTCTTATTTCCTATTTTCCAGGTGTTGCTAGCTCCAGACTGCCAGGACTGTTACTCCTCATTATGCCGCGACGGAGACTCCTTCGAGAAACACGCGCATCGCGCACTCCTCCTCGAGAGATGGACCATGAGCGCCTGTGTCAAGAAGTAAGTACAATTCACCAGTTTCCAACTAGTCAAATTCAATACTTTTATCCAAATGTCAAAAACGATAGTTTTCTATACACTTTGTATGAAACTTCAATTATGGATGTCATGGTATTTTTGCGTCAAATAGCTTACCTATTGGCTAAAAAATATCGAAAATTAAGTGTCGTTAAATAAAAGTACTTGTAGTTATTTTTCAATATTTTATTGTAGGTATTGAAACGTCGTAGTAATTTATTTTTGACCTAAGAAACTACCCGATTCCTACTTGTCTAAAGTACATATAAAAAAGTCGTCACATCTAAGGACGAATGGGCCGGCCTAACTGACGTGAAATGAATCCTAACTTTTAGAAAACGAGCAGGCGAATAACTTTATGGTAAGCAATCAGGGCCGCCCATGGACACCCGCAGCACCAAAGAAGTAACGAGTGCGTTGCCGGCCTTTTGGTAATAGGAGTTTTGGATATTTAAGGATTGGGAAGAAATGGGGGGAAGGGGAAGGGATTGGGTCTCCAGTAACCTCACTGACACGGCAAAACACAACGCTGTTTTTGTTTCACGCCGGTTTTCTGTAAGGCCGTGGTATCACTGAAACGAGCCGACCGATTCGTGCCGAAGCTTGGCTCTCCCATACCTATAATAATTTTCTATGTTTCTCCAATAATGTAATGACTTTATATTTTTTTCAAATCAGTTAGGAGACGTCACAGCATAAGAATGTCCGCTATTTGCAGGGGGGATCAAAGCCCAGCGTTCAGTACTTCGCAATGGCTGCTGAACGCCGTGAGGTCGCAGCTTCACTTCTCCCAGCTGTCAGCCTGGCTCGCAAGACTTAAGAACACAGATGAAAGTCCCACCGAACGCAGGTAAACAATATGGTCTTTTAAAAAGACCATACTTATCATATCATCAGCTCTTGAAAAGGTCAGCCGTCTCTTGAAAAAAAGTCCAAATCATTTATTTCAATTAGGCCCCAGTTGGCACTTTTGAACGTCAAGCCAAAAAAGGAAAAAGAAAATATATTTCAAGTGGTTTAAATTTATGCGTGTCCGTCTGTCGGTCTGTCCTCTAGTGAAGCTATTTGCTCGTTCCAAAGTGTAGATTCCGATGGAGAAGAACGAGCAAGCTCCATGGTTACTCTTTTTCAATCAGTTTTACAATTCATTTATTTGTTACATCAACACTTCTGACGCGGAAAAGGTTAGAGCATTAACCACCACGCTTGCTTAAGGCGTATTGGCGATTTCAAACTTAGAATTATATGTCCAATCAAGTTTGAAAGCGTCAATCAGCCTTGAGCAAGCGTTTTGGTTATTCATTCAAAATTCATTCTTCTCCGTGTTATATGACCATACGATTGATCAATCATGAGTCTCCAAAAATCTTGTATCCTTCGCTTGACTAGAAGGTTGGTACTGATATCATTAGTCATGATTCTCATATCTACACCAAGAAAATCGGTAGAGGCGAGAGAGAGTGTCAGACTCTTACTGACTAAAAGTCATCCTGTTTCTTCTCCTGCTTTAGGGGGTACTTTATCGCGTTTGTCCCGCAATCTTGGCTGATTATCTTATAGACTAATATGTAATATCGACTGCACGGTTGGTGCAGTGGCTGGGCAACTGGTTGCCGTGTCGTGGGTTCGATTCTTGCACGGGTGTGATCCACAATTTGTTGTTGTGTAACCGCATCGGAGAAAATCCTAGTGCGGGACAAAGTTTTTAAACGGTTTTATTTAGCTCACCCCGTTTTTATAAAAAGAAATATAACATAATATATATAAAAATAAATTTCCTCTTTCAGACGCAAGTTAAGCCGCGAGTCCTGCAACTATAAGAAGGTGGAAGCGAACTGTGATGATGACCAATCTGATCGCAAACTCAACGTCGTTTACTCCATACACGTATCTCGAGACAGCTACAAAAAGTCCGACTTCGTCCGACCCCCAAATGACCATAAATTCCCCGTCACCGACATTGGCAACAATATGTACCTCAACATTATATTACAGAGTCTGCCCAGACTCGATGATATCCCACAAATCAAATGCACCTGCCCAAAACGGAAAACTAGCAAGGACACACCGCCCAACATCCACGACGAAATTGTCGGCAAACTCAATGATCTCACTATAGGTAGTAAGTTCGATAACCCAAACGTGGTCGACGACAGGATGCTGACGCCGTGCAGCGAGAATGGAAAACACAAATGCAACTGCGACGACGAATCAGATGGCAACCGACCCAAGAAACTCGACGACAAACGGCTCAAGGAAATCGCTAAATACAAGAGACGGATCCGAAAAGAATCCAAGATCAAGAAGCTACATGATAGTACTTCGTCTGAAGGGGATGGGCTACAGAGAGCGAAAGAAACGCACACGTCCATACCCATTCTACAAGCTTCGAGATTCGACAGGTTTAGGGCCATCGGGTGCTACAGGAACCAAACTTATCTGACACTGCCAGCCACCAGGATCGAAACCAAGTCACCATTCATCGACACTGACATACCACCACCAGCTGAGTTCAAAAAAACCAACACAGTCTCCACACAGACTGAGGAACTGTCCTGCCAGTGCGGGAACCTCCTGCAGATGACTTGTGACACATGTAGTGACCGGGGCATGGTCAGGTCGGAGGGCAATTACAACCTGGCGTCCGTCGACAACCCACAGAGCGTGCAAGAAGACGAAAAGAAGATAAAGAAGCATAAATGTGATAAATATTGTGATAATAATCATAGTATTAGTGATAATAGTGACATTATAAAGAGACCTAAACTGCGTAGGTTCTTCCCTATAGTTGACAAAATCGAGAAAATCGTGACGGATAGATTCGCGCAGAAGGACAACGATATGCAGGAGCTGCAGTTGGATAAGGAGGACACGGTGTTCTCCCGTCCGAGGGAGTCCAAGAGGCAGAAGACTTATTCAATAAACGATGACGATTATGTGTTTTATGAGAAGTGTGACTACGGGACCTTCGACCGGGTGGAGAACCCTGAGGAGTCGCCTAAGGAGGAGTCCCCCCCTGAGGTCTCTGACAAGGGGTTCAAGTTCCCTGATCCGAAGAAACAGGACAATCAAGTGCCGTCCCCGACTGAGATGGATAGGTTTCGGTGGCGCTTCGATTCTGCAGCTTCTATGGTGTTTCATACGAAGACTGGTCTGCCGTTGACCTCCAGCCCCGCGCCGCTTCGCAGGGGGAACAACTGCTTCGATTTCGATGACTCGATTAATGGCATCTCTGGGATCAAGAGGTATGTTATATAGTTTTATTCTACTTACTAGCTACTCTCGCGCTGTTTCACTCGCTGCTCGGCTCCATTTGATTGTAGCGTAATGTTTTATGTATGTAGAGGGTAATCTTTGGAACCGCTGGTCGGATTGCTAAAATTGTTGTACTGATAGATAGCTACAATGTCCTTGAGTGCTATAGGCTATTAAACATCACGCTACGATTAAATGGAGCTGAGCAGCGGGTGTCATCGCACGAGAGTAGCTAGTTAAAAATATGGTCGTTCAACAATTTAATTATTTTAATTTCGATGTTTTCATAATTAATTTATAAGTGTACTTCCCCCACAGCGCACTGTTTCACCCGCCCCCCGCGGTGGAGTCCCCCGCGCCGGAGTCCCCCGTCAGCGCAGCGCCCCCTCCCCCACCAGCGCCCGCACAGTCCAAGATTAAAATGCGGCCTAGCACTGGATTACTCGGTTAGTAAGATATTTTTAACATTAAGGATTAAAATGGCCTCTGCTTCTCGCTTGACGACAACTATCTCGCTAACGACGAAAACTTTTCATTTTTTGACAAATTTGTCCACTAATAGTTGACTTATGCACTTACTTGATACTAATTTTTACGACTATTCAATGGATAACTTTTAAACTTTCGCGTTCCTACTGAGATGCAATATGTTTTTTGTGCGGGTCTGCATTTATTTATTACGTACATTACTGTTCGTGACTTCAAATGCGTAATTTATTTAGAAAAATCGAAAATTCAGGTAATGTCTGTTTGGAAAAAGTTTTGTAATAATACTTAGAATTCGATTGCGCAATTAAATAAAAAATAAAAATGCATCTTTGACCTTCAATATCTCGACAACCCGTGGAGTCCCAGCTATGGTCTTAAAGAAAAAAATTATCCAAATAATGGGTAGAATACGTGGCTTTCGGCTTCGTTAAGGGTCTTTTTACACCCTTCGCGTTAATACCAGCGTAATTATATGCTGTAAACACGTAACGCGAAAGTTACCTCGCTGACGTCGTAAAATTTATTTTTGACAACTGTGAATGGATGTTATCTTATATATAGAAATGGATCGCAAAATGTGTTGGTAAGCGCATAATTCAACAACGCCTGGACCAATTTTGCTAATTCTTTTTTTGTTGTGTTTGTTATTGTCAGGAGAAGGTTCTTATCAAAGAAAATATTTGAAAAGTTAAGGAGAAGATTAGGAAAAAGTGACCCTTCGATAGCGAGATAGTTGGACCCGTGCGAAGCGGGGGCGGGCCGCTAGTTATACATATAAACCTTCCTGTTCAGTCACTCTTTCTATAAAAAACCGCATCAAAATCTTAATTTTATAGATTCAAGCATACATAGAGATACAGGAACAGGTAAAGCGACTTTTTTTATACTATGTAGTGATAAAATATATTTTTATTTCATTTATGTACATCATAAATGTATGTACACAAATATGAAGTTGGTACAAAGGAAAATCTGCGAAAAATATATATAGGTACAGAAAATATTATGTAACGATACGAAGTAATGTTGGCATTTTTCAGTTATAACATTACAATGAAAAGTGGCATTGATTTTTATTTGTCGAATAAATGTGTTTTCTTTCTTTCTTTCTTTCTTCTTTCTTCTTCTTCTATTGTATCGTAAATAAATAACTACCAGACCCAGCCACTCGTTGCTGTGGCTAAGGTAAATAATATTGTGACTATAAATTGAGATGCAAGCTATCGTATATCTTTCAAGTTGGATCAAAATGCACACGGAATGCAATTTAAATTTAAAATTGGTTTAGTAGTTGCCCGCGACTCCGTTCGCTTGGAATAGTGAATTCCTGCAGACAGTTACTTTCGCATTTATAATATAAGTATAGATAGTATAGATAGAATAAGCTATATAAACCTACTTAAAATTGTAAACATATATGTATTAATACTAGTCCTCCTCATAAAAAAATTTAAATATTGTTATGCCAGACAGGGCCCGCAATGCTCTTAAACTTATATATGTAAATCCTTATGTACCCTACCACATAAGTTTACAAATATTGAGTATTGAGTATTGTTTAGGAGTCCATCTCAGACAAACACGTGACACGAAATGTTTATATGTATATAATGGTTATATGTATATAAAGTGTGGGAGAGCCATGCTTCGGCACGAATAGGTCGGCTCGACCGGAGTGATACCACGGCCTCACAGACAACCGGCGTGAATAACCATTGCGTTGTGTTTCGCCGTGTGAGTGAGGTTACCGGAGGCCCAATCCTTCCCCTTCTTCAATCCCTCTTCAATCCCTAATCCCTAAAAGGTCGGCAACGCACTCGTAACTCCTTCTTTGTTGTGGGTGTCCATGGGCGGCGCTGATTGCTTACCATCAGGTAATCCGTCTGCGCGTTTGCCGACCTATTACATAAAAAAAAATATACATACAATATAAATATGTAATGATGTATACGAAAACAAGAATGTTTCATTTATTATTTTAAAGGAATATATAAGAATTAATATTAATAAATATCCCCCTTTTTGTATTACAGGTAGTTTCGAAGAGTCAGCTTTGAAGGGTCGTTTAGAACCCGTAGCGACGGTGCACGGGTTTACAGCGGAGCTGGGGGCGTACGGGTCATTCTGTCCCCCGCACAAACGTCTCCCTGTTACCGTGTTTTTCTACGCACCCGGGGGCACCAATGCGCCTTATATGGTGAGAAATTATTATCTTACTAGCTTTTCTCGCGCGGTTTCACTCGCTCCTCGGCTCCTACAAATCTTTCTCGGTAAATGGCAACATCAGCCCTGTGGGGGGGCCCTATCTGTGGAGCAGTCAACTGGGTTAAATTATCATATTAATTAATATTATATAACCCCAAGCGAACGCCGGCTTTCGCGCACTTATTGTTCGTCTATTTTGTCTCGAATTGCCACGATTGGAAGGTTAAGCAAAACCTTTCAAGTCTAACAATAATATGAGCTTCCTACCGATATCCAGCATCCGTAACGATCCGTTCCTTCTGTTAAGTTTCATGTCATCTCTAAATAAATAACGTAAGTGTAGTGGAAGCAATCATCAACGCCGTTTACCTAGATCAGAAATTGAAATGGTCCAATAAGTGATCCTTGTGGAACACCACTTGGGAGAGTAACCCAGCCAGACATAATTACAGTTAAAGGCAAAGACACCCTGAGATCTTTTTTCTCTTTCTATATATTTCTTTGTAGCAATTTCAATTATGACATGTTCAGCATGAAAACACAATGATAATAATATGAACAATCATATTTTACAATTAAAGAATAAGCGCACGAAACAGATTTCTTCGTTCTTAACATAGCGTTGGACTAGTGTTGCCCCGTCCTTGCTTAGTCGGTGTTTAGTTCTCTGAATATATTATATTTTGTAACGAGTACGCTAGGCACGTTTTCTTGTAAAAAAATTAAAAATATAATCAACTAGCGGCCCACCCCCGCTTCCGCACGGGTCCTACTATCTCTCTAACAACGAAAGGGTCCCTTTTTCCCAATTTCCCGATCTACTTTTCTTATATTTTCTTTCATAAGAACCTTCTCCTGGCAATAATAAATACAAAACAAAAGGATTTTGCAAAATTGGTCCAGGCGTTTTTGAGTTATGCGCTTACCAACACATTTTGCGATCCATTTTTATATATAAGATTTACGAAAAATGCCTTTGTAACAAAGCTGTTGTACTTTCCAGGGCCACATAAACCTGGGGTCCCGCGGGTACCGCGTGGCGAGGTCGGGGACGGTGCAGGTGTCTCTGTTCAACCCCCACGGCACGCTGGTGAAGATGTTCGTGGTGCTGTACGACCTGACGCGCATGCCCCCCCACGCGCGGACCTTCCTGCGCCAGCGCACGCTGTACATGCCGGCCGCCGCGCCGCCCCCCGCGCCCGCGCACCGCCACCAGTGGCTGCGGTACCTCATACACCTGCGGTACGTACTACCCCCCCACCCCCCACCCCCCACACACCTTCCTGCGCCAGCGCACGCTGTACATGCCGGCCGCCGCGCCGCCCCCCGCGCCCGCGCACCGCCACCAGTGGCTGCGGTACCTCATACACCTGCGGTACGTACTACCCCCCCACCCCCCACCCCCCACACACCTTCCTGCGCCAGCGCACGCTGTACATGCCGGCCGCCGCGCCGCCCCCCGCGCCCGCGCACCGCCACCAGTGGCTGCGGTACCTCATACACCTGCGGTACGTACTACCCCCCCACCCCCCACCCCCCACACACCTTCCTGCGCCAGCGCACGCTGTACATGCCGGCCGCCGCGCCGCCCCCCGCGCCCGCGCACCGCCACCAGTGGCTGCGGTACCTCATACACCTGCGGTACGTACTACCCCCCCACCCCCCACCCCCCACACACCTTCCTGCGCCAGCGCACGCTGTACATGCCGGCCGCCGCGCCGCCCCCCGCGCCCGCGCACCGCCACCAGTGGCTGCGGTACCTCATACACCTGCGGTACGTACTACCCCCCCACCCCCCACCCCCCACACACCTTCCTGCGCCAGCGCACGCTGTACATGCCGGCCGCCGCGCCGCCCCCCGCGCCCGCGCACCGCCACCAGTGGCTGCGGTACCTCATACACCTGCGGTACGTACTACCCCCCCACCCCCCACCCCCCACACACCTTCCTGCGCCAGCGCACGCTGTACATGCCGGCCGCCGCGCCGCCCCCCGCGCCCGCGCACCGCCACCAGTGGCTGCGGTACCTCATACACCTGCGGTACGTACTACCCCCCCACCCCCCACCCCCCACACACCTTCCTGCGCCAGCGCACGCTGTACATGCCGGCCGCCGCGCCGCCCCCCGCGCCCGCGCACCGCCACCAGTGGCTGCGGTACCTCATACACCTGCGGTACGTACTACCCCCCCACCCCCCACCCCCCACACACCTTCCTGCGCCAGCGCACGCTGTACATGCCGGCCGCCGCGCCGCCCCCCGCGCCCGCGCACCGCCACCAGTGGCTGCACCAAAGATTAAATTCTACCAGTTTGGAAGGCAGGAGTCCTCGGCTTGCGCAGTCAGCGGGGTTTTCTTCAGATCTTACGTAGTTCCAATGAGTCGCAGGGGTAATATTGTTTATTTGAGCCACTCTGTTCGCTACATATTTTTCCCATCTGTTTATATCCCCTTGCAACCATGCTAGCACAACTTTGGAGTCGCTCCAGCACCTTATCTGAAGTGTTTTCGCGTCGAGTGTTTGCTTGACCTTTTCTATCAGTTTAGCGAGTAACAATGCTCCACACAGTTCCATCTTCGGTAGAGTTATCCTTTTGTTGAGCGGCGCAACTTTAGTTTTTGCAGTTACTAGCGTGGTGACGTACTCGTCGTTCAGATTTCGGACGCGGCTGTAAATTACACACGCATATGCCTTTTCACTGGCATCGCAGAATCCGTGTATCTCAATACCGGTGCCATGGCACTGAAGCCACCTTGGCATTGCTATTTGGCTTAACAAAGGGATGTCTTTCCTCAGTGTTTCCCACTCGTTGATTAGTTCGTCGCATAGGGGTTCGTCCCAGGTGATTTTACTTATCCAGATCTTTTGAAATAATAATTTTGTTTTTATAATAAACGGTGATAGGAAGCCAAGCGGGTCGTACAACTTGCTTATTTCACTAAGCAATGTTCGAAGCTAAGCTAAGCTAGAAGATAACCTAAACATGCTGAAAACTAAGTGGGAACAGATCGAAAAGGCGAACTGGGAACTAGACTACATTTTGCAAGACGAAGACTCCATCTATAAACAAAAATATGATGCGGCGGAACACCTTTACGATAATATTCGGAAAAACTTGCAACAAAAAATTTGGAACAATGCTCACTATGAGAAGTCCACGCCGAAAATTGCGATTCCAGAATTCTCCGGAGACTACACCCAATGGCTTACTTTCAAAGACCTCTTCCTCGAGAGTGTAGATAACAACCCGGCCCTTTCCAAGGCCCAAAAAATGCAGCAAGCATGTACGGTTTCCGTACAGGCATTTATTTTGCTAACGTCGCGCGACCTACTTTCGCGAGTCGATTTAATTAATATTGTAATTTTTGTAGTTAGTTGATTATAACGATACTCACGATTAGCACCTCACATAACTAGTGTAACATACACAATAAACTATTAAACGGGAAATCTGTGGTATTTGTCAACTCAAACAAATTAACGACGCCTGGGTCCATACACCTCATACACCTGCGGTACGTACTACCCCCCCACCCCCCACCCCCCACACACCTTCCTGCGCCAGCGCACGCTGTACATGCCGGCCGCCGCGCCGCCCCCCGCGCCCGCGCACCGCCACCAGTGGCTGCGGTACCTCATACACCTGCGGTACGTACTACCCCCCCACCCCCCACCCCCCACACACCTTCCTGCGCCAGCGCACGCTGTACATGCCGGCCGCCGCGCCGCCCCCCGCGCCCGCGCACCGCCACCAGTGGCTGCGGTACCTCATACACCTGCGGTACGTACTACCCCCCCACCCCCCACCCCCCACACACCTTCCTGCGCCAGCGCACGCTGTACATGCCGGCCGCCGCGCCGCCCCCTGCGCCCGCGCACCGCCACCAGTGGCTGCGGTACCTCATACACCTGCTGTACGTACTACCCCCCCACCCCCCACCCCCCACACACCTTCCTGCGCCAGCGCACGCTGTACATGCCGGCCGCCGCGCCGCCCCCCGCGCCCGCGCACCGCCACCAGTGGCTGCGGTACCTCATACACCTGCGGTACGTACTACCCCCCCACCCCCCACCCCCCACACACCTTCCTGCGCCAGCGCACGCTGTACATGCCGGCCGCCGCGCCGCCCCCCGCGCCCGCGCACCGCCACCAGTGGCTGCGGTACCTCATACACCTGCGGTACGTACTACCCCCCCACCCCCCACCCCCCACACACCTTCCTGCGCCAGCGCACGCTGTACATGCCGGCCGCCGCGCCGCCCCCCGCGCCCGCGCACCGCCACCAGTGGCTGCGGTACCTCATACACCTGCGGTACGTACTACCCCCCCACCCCCCACCCCCCACACACCTTCCTGCGCCAGCGCACGCTGTACATGCCGGCCGCCGCGCCGCCCCCCGCGCCCGCGCACCGCCACCAGTGGCTGCGGTACCTCATACACCTGCGGTACGTACTACCCCCCCACCCCCCACCCCCCACACACCTTCCTGCGCCAGCGCACGCTGTACATGCCGGCCGCCGCGCCGCCCCCCGCGCCCGCGCACCGCCACCAGTGGCTGCGGTACCTCATACACCTGCGGTACGTACTACCCCCCCACCCCCCACCCCCCACACACCTTCCTGCGCCAGCGCACGCTGTACATGCCGGCCGCCGCGCCGCCCCCCGCGCCCGCGCACCGCCACCAGTGGCTGCGGTACCTCATACACCTGCGGTACGTACTACCCCCCCACCCCCCACCCCCCACACACCTTCCTGCGCCAGCGCACACTGTACATGCCGGCCGCCGCGCCGCCCCCCGCGCCCGCGCACCGCCACCAGTGGCTGCGGTACCTCATACACCTGCGGTACGTACTACCCCCCCACCCCCCACCCCCCACACACCTTCCTGCGCCAGCGCACGCTGTACATGCCGGCCGCCGCGCCGCCCCCCGCGCCCGCGCACCGCCACCAGTGGCTGCGGTACCTCATACACCTGCGGTACGTACTACCCCCCCACCCCCCACCCCCCACACACCTTCCTGCGCCAGCGCACGCTGTACATGCCGGCCGCCGCGCCGCCCCCCGCGCCCGCGCACCGCCACCAGTGGCTGCGGTACCTCATACACCTGCGGTACGTACTACCCCCCCACCCCCCACCCCCCACACACCTTCCTGCGCCAGCGCACGCTGTACATGCCGGCCGCCGCGCCGCCCCCCGCGCCCGCGCACCGCCACCAGTGGCTGCGGTACCTCATACACCTGCGGTACGTACTACCCCCCCACCCCCCACCCCCCACACACCTTCCTGCGCCAGCGCACGCTGTACATGCCGGCCGCCGCGCCGCCCCCCGCGCCCGCGCACCGCCACCAGTGGCTGCGGTACCTCATACACCTGCGGTACGTACTACCCCCCCACCCCCCACCCCCCACACACCTTCCTGCGCCAGCGCACGCTGTACATGCCGGCCGCCGCGCCGCCCCCCGCGCCCGCGCACCGCCACCAGTGGCTGCGGTACCTCATACACCTGCGGTACGTACTACCCCCCCACCCCTCGCCCCCCACACACCTTCCTGCGCCAGCGCACGATTTTTACAAATCAAACACTATACTTTTCTATGCAATTTTGTATGAGACTCCAATGACGTCATAGTATTTTTGCGTCAAATAGCTTAAAAAGTAACTAAAAAATATCGACAGATCGATGAATAAAAGTTTAGTTATTTTTCAATAAATTATTGTATTAAAACTTCGAAACTACCTAATTCTGATGTTTAAATTCTAGATTACTAATTTATTTAATTTTTGTTTCAGATTCATGACATCGAAATCCGGTAAACTGTACCTTCACACGGACATACGTATAATCGTATCTAGAAAAGCCGATCTCGATACGGCGACAGCCCATTCCGCCTTATTCCGACCTCTACCGACTAATTCCGACCCGACTTCGTCCGAGACCGACCCGAATTCTTCCGACCGTAAACCGAATCGGGTTTTCGGCGGTTGTTCGGATTTTGACGACTATGAAAACCAGAATGGTGTTTCGTACGAGCTTAGGAGCTTTACCTACGCTCCGGACAATCCAAAGTATTCCCCGCGTTAGTTCGGACGAATTCGGTAATTTTCGGGTTTTTCCGTCATTCTCGTAGTTTGGTGGTTGTCGGTATTCTTTTTGTTTTAGTGCCTGTATGTAATGATTGTTTAACTGTATGTATTAATGAGAAAATATATTTTTGGTTTTTATAATAATTTTTGCGTTTTATTTCTGTTCGGTTCTAACCCTAAAACTATAACAAACGTGCGCACTCCTTTTCAAAACACCGGTAACGCGCCTCTGACTCCTCTGGTGCCGCAGTTGTCCATGGGCGGTGCTGATCGATTGCCATTCGGTGATCCGACTGCTCATTTGCCTCCTATTTCATCAAAAATATGATAGCGTGATGATACATGATAACAATCATCATCATCATCAGCCTATTAGTGCCCACTGCTGAGCAAAGGCCTCTTCTCACACGAAGAAGGTTTGAGCATTAATCACCACGCTTGCTCAATGCGGCTTGGCGATTTCAAACTTATAATTAGAAATTATAAGTCCAGGTTTCCTCACGATGTTTACCTTCACCGTATGTCAGTGGTGTCTAAATAATCATAGAAAGTACATGTAACTCGGAAAAAGTCACATTGGTACTTGCCAGGTTTCGAACCCGTCATGCATGAGAAGCGGGCTCTCCACCTCCGGGCCACCACGACATTTTTTTGATGATACATGATAACAATCTTGACTGCTATTACTGCTACTATTCTGCTTTACGTATCGGGGTCTGGTTGTGATGTGTACCTATGTGAAATTGTGTGTTTGTTAAGCACCCACGACACGATAGAAAACCCTAGTGCGGGGCAGTGTTTCATAATCTAGGAATTCATTCATATTAAGCAATTTAAGAATGCTGTTGAGTAGTAAACTCGTTGACGAACTTTAGGGCGCTAATAGCATTATTTGAAGCACTCCTAAAAAGTCACCTGAGATGCAAAATGCAAACACAGACGACTTAACCTAAAGACCGCGCTTTGCCAGGCATATGCATTCGCCAAGGTTAGGTAGTGGTACTGCATAAGAGCAGGCCCCGCCCCTATCTGCTTCTCATTCTGGCGCAACGAGTCAAAGCGAAACAACAACATTGTCAATTCTGACGTGTCCTTAAACGAGCCAATGAAAACTAGACTACCTCTCCCTGCAACCCACCTTTTAACGATTTTGTTTTCGTATTGAAGTTTGTTTTCGCGTGGTCTTTAGGTTGAATCGTCTTTTTTTTTATTGAATAGTTAGGCAAACGAGCATACGGATTACCTGATGGTAAGTAATCAGCGCCGCCCATGGACACCCGTAACGGAGGAGAAACGAGTGCGTTGCCGACCTTTTAGGGATTAGGGTTTTGGAGATTTAGGGATTGGCAGGGATCGGGGGAGGGGAAGGATTGGGTCTCCGGTAACCTCACTCACACGGCGAAACACAACGCTGTGGTTGTTTCACGTCGGTATTCTGTGAGGCCGTGGTATCACTCCGGTCGAGCCGACCCATTCGTGCCGAAGCTTGGCTCTCCCACAATTCGTCTGTGGATTCAAAACTGGAGTTTGGGCACCTCATGAAGCCAAATACAGAGTAATGCTGGAAAGGATCCAGAACGTAAAAGTATGGTTGATGTATTTAAAGCAGTACTGTCTGTACCTGGGATATTTTCTTTATATGATAGGCCGGCGAACTGTCAGACGAATTACCTGATGGTAAGCAATCAGCGCCGCCCATGGACACCCGGAATAAGATAGATATGTTTAATTGCACATGCATGCATTCACATTATGCATGAATTTACTAATGGGCCTCCGGTAACCTGACTCACATGGCGAAACACAACGCTTTGGTTGTTTCACGCCGGTTTTCCATTCGTGCCAAAGCTTGGCCTTTTCACACTTCTCGTCATCGTTTTTTAACATTTTGCCCTTTAGATAACGAACACTACATAAAAGATTATCAATTTTGGTGCAGTAATTTTATTGGTTTTCATTAACTAAATTGCTTTGAGTGATGTAAGGTGAAAATACAAAAAAAAAACAAGATACTTAGAAAAAATAATTTATTAATAAATAAATAAAGGCATACACACACATTCACACAATAAATAACATTCACACTTATGGCCACAACTTAATTAATAATGCCTTATTTATTAATTATACTTAAATCTTAGGTATAATTTTATATAATTGCAACACCAAACTTTTTTTTGCTTGCAACACTGACATTATTGTTGGACTAATATTATTTGATACTTTGATATGATTAAATGCCATCATATATTAAAATTTGTATGTTTTTTTGTAACAAAGATGGAGGACCAGAGGCGCTCAACTTATGTTACCTAAATATGTTTCATAATAACCAATTTTTTATACATAAATGTTTTTTTGAACAAAATTGTTAATGGGAATTTTATTATTAAAATTCAAAAACCCAAAAACAATCTATTTGCTTGGGAATCGAACCCAAAACCTCACGCCACCACTGAACGAAACAGCCTAACATAAAAATATACTAAAAGTACCAAAAACACATGAATTGATAAAATCAATTAAATTTCAATTCTAATACATAACCAACAAGACACATATTTGTTCAAAATTCAATTACAAAATGGCGGATCTGTCAAAATAATGTCAACTGTCAAGCAAGAGTTTCAAAAGTTATGTTCTATGACTGGAGTGAAAGAGACAGCGTTAGATTACACCCTCGATAGATAAGGACGGCTATAGACCAGTGGGCTTCTTTCTTGAGCCTTGTAAGGAGAAATTTCGCTAACCTCGGCCTCGCTTTCCTGTTGAGTAAAGAGAAATTATGTTATTTATACATCACATTACCAGCTTATAAGTTTCAACTGAGCATAGGCCTCTTCTCACACGGAGAAGGTTTGAGCATTAATCACCAGGCTTGCTCAAGGCGGATTGTCAATTTCAAATTTATAATTAGAAATTACAAGTCCAAGTTTCCTCACGATGTTTTTCTTCACTATTTGTCAGTGGTGCCTAAAATTACTTAGAAAGTACAAGTGACCGGCGGTTTACATATGGGGGGTGACATCCACTTTTCGTGGTGGCCCGTAGGTTAAGGAGCCCGCTTCTCATGCATGAGGGTGCTGGTTCGAAACCTGGCAATTACCAATTTGACTTTTTCCAAGTTATATGTACTTTCTATGATTATTTAGACACCACAGACATACGGTGAAAGTAAACATCGTAAGGAAACCAGGACTTATAATTTCTAATTAATAAGTTTGAATCGCCAATCCACCTTGAGCAAGCGTGGTGATAAATGCTCAAACCTTCTCCATGTGAGAAGAGGCCTTTGCTCAGCAGTGGGCCCTTATAGGCTGATGATGATGATTGGGCCAACCAGTAACCTCACTCACACGGCGAAACACAACGCTGTGGTTGTTTCACGCCTGTTTTCTATGAGGCCGTGGTATCACAAAACTCTCAAACTTTTATGATGGTTGATACTGTATCTCCTGTCACCATGCTCACCTCATCAGGCAGTATACTCCTGGACCAGGGTCCCCAGCCGCCGTGCTCCTCTTCCTCGTGATCATAGTGATGCTGGTGTTGAGCATGCTCATAGTATATTATCTGGAAGAGAAAAAGAGGATGATGTTAAAAGTGATAATGAAATTTTTTTTTGAGTAGAGGGAATCCTCATATGAATTGTTTCTCCCGTCCTGTTTGAGGCCAGACAGTGAGGAGTGTCAGACTCTTGCTGTCTAAAAACCACCCCGTTTCTGCTGCTAAGTATGACCTTCCTTTCCAAACACAGTGTATAAGGGTAGTAAATTGAATTTTATAGATGTTAATTGTAACTTTATAATATAAAATCGGCTTCACCCGCGTGGTATGTTGATAAAAAGTAGCCTATGTCCTATTCCGGAGTGTATCATATGCTTGTGCCAAATTTCGTCCAGCTGTTTTGGCGTGATTGAGTTACAAACACCCAAACATCGTAACTTTCGCATTTATAATATTATTAGTAAGATAAGATAAAAAATAATTAGATACTATCACTATCACTAACATAAATAGTACCTAAGTTAATATTGTTACTAATTCACTAACCAAATATGGGCATTTGTATGAAATAAATGTTATTAATTTTTTTTAAAAAAAAAACCTTGCCCCATCTTAGGATTTTCTCCTGTGTCGTGGGTGCGTTTACAAACATACAATTTCACATGCACATCACACCCAGACCCGGAACAACAATCTGTGGATCACACAAAGAGTTGTTCCGTGCGGGAATCGAACCCGCGACACGTTGCGCGGCAGCCAATTGCCCAGCCACCGCACCAACCGTGCAGTCAAAGTATTCTATTCTACTCTACTCTACTCTACACCATTCTATTCTTCTCCTGCTCCGGGCCAAGGCTGCGGTACACTATTACTCTTACACATAGAACATCCGCTTTATCAATCTATCTAGATTGTTTATCAAAAAGTCTACCTAGGTTTTATAGTCTACATATTCCTCCAAGACGCACGCTAAGCGTACACTCGATTTACATATTAAGATCTCAATCTAGGGCAGTAGATCTGGTTTGAAGAAAAACGAGAATAACAAGTCTTATACATAGGTAATATCGTACTCATATTATAAAGAGGTAAAATTTGTAAGTTTGCATGTAGGAGGTAAATTTAGAACCGCTGGTCCGATTTCCAAAATTCGTTCACTGATAGGGAGCTAAAATGTTCCTGAGTGCTATAAGCTATAAAACATCACCCTATGACGAACGACAACTAGGAGACGAACAGCGGGTAAAACTGCGCGGCAGTAGCTAGTTATTTATAAGGATATAGGGAACATTTTGCGACATGATAACTCTAAGCCCTCTTCTTTGAAGATTTGTAGGAGCTGGCGTTTGGCTACTGATTCGCATGGTGCTAAGCAATGATGCGGCCTACGATGAAGCACGCCTTCCCATAAGCAACCTATACACTCGAGCCTTGAAGACACCCAGGTTATAGGTACCCTTCGGGGAACACAGACTCTACAAAGAATTCCAATCATGTCGGTTCTGATGATCAGGTCGTGCAGCGTCTTTGAACACTACGAAATGCATCTGATAAATGATCTGCGCCTGTGTCATATACACAGGCGCAGACTTTGAAGTTAGAAGGTAAAAATGAATTGCTGTGCGTTAGTCTCGCTAAAACTCGACAACGGCTGGCCCGATTTCACTGATTTTGATCTTGTGTAAAAGGTCAGCCAGGGATAGTTTTTAGATGGTTAATTTTGTGGCGGAGTTCGCCAGGTCAGCTAGTTTTACATATAAACCTTCCTCTTTAACCACTCTATCTGTTAATAAAACTGGATCAAAATCCGTTGCGTAGTTTTAAAGTTTTAAGCGTACATAGGGATAAAGGGACAGAGAAAGCGACTTTGTTTTATACTATGTTTAAAAATATTCCTTTTTTTTTGTGAGGGGAAAATCATCAAATGACTTCTCCCGCTCAGGGCCGGGCAAGAGGGAGTGTCAGACTCTTACTGACTAAAAACCCCCCTGTTCCTTCTCCTGCTCTGTGCCGAGGTCGCGGTGCCTCACTGCGCTTACCCCGCAACCCCGGTTGAACATCAGCCCTATGGGGCCCCGTATATGGTGGTCTAATGGCTCTTTGAGGCGCGCGCGGAACGCTACGCGCCGTACGCTCGGGCCTGGTTCTGGTCGGGCGGCGAGCTGCCCTTACTCGCCGACCGCAGGCCCGTGCTTACGGTGGCCGGAGATCGTCCCTCGATCCCCGACGCCCGTAGTGTCGCCAGTTGCGGCTGCTGGGGCGTGAGGAGGAGGATTGCTCCCTCACGCGGGCCGCCTCTCTCTTTGCGAGCATGACTGCTTCACAAAAGGAGGAGACGGCGTCCCAGTTCCTCTCACTCCACACCATGGCCTCGACTAAGGCCGGGCGCGAGAGGTCGCCGCCGCCGATCACTTCCCTGAGGATACGGCGGTGCTCAGCCCAGGCAGGGCATACCGCTACCGTATGCTCCACCGTATCCTCTAGGTGGTCCTCACAATGACGACACTCGGGCGTTTCCTCCCGCTGAATCCGAAACAGGAACCTACCGAAGCTGCCGTGCCCGGTAAGCACCTGCGTCAAACGGAAGGTGAGGACGCCGTGGCGTCTCCCAAGCCACTCCTCAAAGAGGGGTCTTACCGCTGCTATGGTAGCGTGCCCGGCCCTCGGTTGCGACAGTCGTTGTTTCCACTCTGAAAAATATACATATGAAGATGCGTATGTAAAATGTACACCTACGAAATTACGGATAAATCCAAAATCCAAAAACATTTATTACAACTAAGTAAAGCATAATAATATACAGGTACTTTTTAGACATCAAAATAGTAATAATAAAAGTCCTTCAATTTGTTCGTAAGTGAAGCTACATAGATGATAAAATCTAGTTAATAAATATAAACTAATATTATGTAATAATATTCGTAGAAATAGTCAAAGTCAAAATCATTTATTCCAACTAAACCATAAATAGGTACTTTTGAAACGTCAAAATAGAGAAGTAGTCTGTCAGTCTGTTCGTCAGTGAAGCTAGGTGCTCATTCCAAATTGTAGATTCGAATGGAGAAGAACGAGCAAGAAACTCCATTCGTTAATCTTTTAAAAAAAATGTTTTACAATTTCAATAATATAAAATTTATAGTATACATTATTGTAACCTTATGTGAGAACAATGCAGAGACAAGTTGTAAAAAAAAGAACAAATGAGGGGACCTATCATAAAATTTTACTCCTTTAAGATAGGCATGTAACTTCTCCATTTCAATAACATTAACCCCGCTAAGACAATAGTTTAGGCAGAGGAGCAACTTTCTCCATGACCTATCCGGTACTGACTTCAAGTTATTTGTAAATTATGTAGGAATTACGAGGGAAACCAGTAAAGCCGAAGCCACAATTGTGTTCAAGAAATATTACAATCTTACTATCTTATATATAAAAATGGATCGCAAAATGTGTTGGTAAGCGCATAACTCAATAACGCCTGAACCAATTTTGCTAATTCTTTTTTTGTTGTGGTTTTGTTATTGTCAGGAGAAGGTTCTTACTAATGAAAATATGAGAAAAGTAGAGGGGAAGATTAGGAAAAAGTGACCTTTTGATAGCGAGATAGTTGGACCCGCGCGAAGCGGGGGCGGGTCGCTAGTAATATTATAAATGCAACAGTTACGATGTTTGGATGTTTTGTTACTCAATCACGCCAAAACAGCTGGACGGATTTGGATGAAATTTGGGACAGGCATAGGGTACACTCCGGAGAATGACACAGGCTACGTTTTATCAACATAACACGCGGGAAAAGCTGCTAGCGGTAGCTAGTAACTAATAATAGTAAGGGTTACTGAGAATGTACGGATATATGTTTGTTTGTTAGTCTTTAATGCAAAAACGGCTGGACTGATTTGGGTGGTATGTAGATAGGTAATACCTTGAATAAACACATAGACATGCTTTTTTAACATACTAGGCGGGCGAAACCGCGGGTGGAAGCTAGAGCAAAATATTATAAACGCGAAAGTTTGTAAGTACGGACGGATGTTTGTTACTATCTCACATAAAAACTAATGAACGGATATGAATGAAATTTGGCAAAGAGATAGATTATCTATAGTCTGGAATAACACATAGGCAATTTTTTTACCCTGGTATTGCGAGCAAAGTCGGTGGCAGATATGTTCAAAAAACTAGGTTCTGCCACCGACTTTGCTCGCAATACGACGCCGTGGTGGCCCTTAGGTTAAGGCTTCTTACGCATTAGAGTGCAGGTTCGGCACCTGGCAAGTACCAATGTGACTTTTTCCGAGTTACATGTACTTTCTGTGATTATTCAGACATCACTGACATATGGTGACATCATGAGGAAACCTGTACTTATATTTTTTTAAATTATACGTTTGAAATCGCCAGTCCGCCTTGAAGAAGCGTGGCGATTAATGCTCAAACTTTATCCGTGTGAGATAAGGCCTTTGCTCAGCAGTGGGCACTTATAGGCTGATGATGTGTGATGTGAATGATGTGATCCATTTGGTTAAAATATAAATAATAAATATTACGAGAGTATGCACAGTCTCACAGTGGCTTTAATTAGAGGGGAGTCATCTACTTCTCTCGCCCATGGTGAGGCAAGAGGGATTGTCTGACTCTTACTGAGAGAACCATTCGTTCTTTCCTGTTCCTGTCCTGCTTTGAAACAAATGCCTTGAAATTGGAGAGGCCGAAAACAGGCTGATGATGATGATGATGACACAAGAAAATGGAGAAAATAACAGAGTAGGTCAAGGGCCATTTAAAAAAAATGTAAAAAGAAGCTGAATTTGGTCACATATACCCAATATGAACAAGACCTGCACCCTACCGGCACAGTGTTAACCCGCTGCCGAACGGGTCACTTTCACTGTGACCCACACGGATGCCAACGACCTTAATCGTGGTATTTCCCGCCGACTGTATTCATTACCGTTATAGGGTTGGCGATTTATTTAAAGAACATTGAATTTTTATTTTCTTTGTGCTAAGTCTACACAAAGGTTGATAAAAATAAGTTTTTTATGTGAGTGTACTTGTTATTA